ACCGCCTATGGGTATGGTATGGTATGGTATGGTATGGTATGGTATGGTATGGTATGGCATGGTATGGTGTGGGCCGATACCAGGTTGCTGAAAGAGGATTTGGAGTGGTATGGGTTCAGGTAGGCGTTCAGTTCGAGGACGTCCCGCTGGTGGACAGATGGCATCCATGAAGAGATGGATAGAAGCCAGCTTCCGGAAAATCTCTACCTTGATAGATGTCGGTGGCGGTTAGGCGTCCCAGAGCGCCCTAAGGCACTGTCAAAGTGACAAATGACAACTTTTTTTCTGCTAAATCCTATATGAGAAATATGGAAAACGGACCGTAACATCCGTTGTTTTGGCGCAATTCGATACCAAATTTTATTGTATTAACACTTTCTGAAGCCTGCTTTTCCGCTATAAACCACGCCATTTTCGATGTTTTATATGAACCAAAGTTTTGTCCCCCGGATCCATCCGAACGCGAACGCCGTGTATGATATACGTTGACCAACGACAGCAACGTATGTCCCCGTTTGAAAAATAAGACGGTTTCTAATATCTTGGATCGCAGTCATGAATGTATTTTGCACATGCACATCTGTCTCACGAACTCGTCAATGAGATCAAGTCAGAACGCGAACCATTCTGGGCACGAACATGGCAGAAAACATATTCCGCCCTGATTTCTAAAAGGAGGTAGCTCCTTGAATATCAGACATTGACACTTGGGTTCGGACGAATCTCATTATTTTTGATTCATCTCTAAATTTCAAGTGTCAATACACGATTCTTGGACATGCAGAAGGGTTCCTTTGCCACGACATTTTCTGATGACAATTTTTTCCACATCAGCTAAGCGAATGCGGAAATAGGACGGATACAGAAAACGCATGAAGATTGATATTAGAGATCCAACATGTTTTGTGGTTGAAGCAACGACCTAGAAACTATGAATAGGGGGATCCTATGCTACGCCAATGGTGAATTTTGTAACACCCTAGAAGTGAACCGTAGCTCCGAAAATCCATCAGGCCTTTACCGATGCCTCCGCGAATAAAGTTCGGGCCCAGAAATGCAGTCAACCTTTGAATTTCAATTATCCAGAGCGATTTACTAATACAATTGTTACGAATCATCGTTTATAAAGCACGTATTTGACTAAGTTTTTGCATAAATTTACTTATGTTTGCGCAAGAACGCTCATTTATCTACATTCTCAGCCATCTTGGCTAGAATTGGAATCTGCAGATCTGGCAGTGAAATTTTGGGCGTTAGAAGTTGGTTAGAGGGGTGGCTGCACTTTTGGGCCCTATGCCCTCCATGAAGCGATCTGTCCGTACTCTGGCTATATAGGTACTCTACTTTACCTTGCGCAATGTAACGCCTGCGTAAGTTTTAACTTTGCCTTGCTCTTTTTTACACAGCCACGAAATGCCCTGGTAAAAATTGGCAGTAGAATGTGTGTTCCAAAATACTATAGACCTAAAGCCGGCTGTAAGATTTCCAATAGCTTCTGTAGCCGGCTGTACAATTTCTTATAGCTTTTTATAGCCGATGGTGATTAAGCAACAGCCAGACGATAAAGTTTATGCTAAACGATCGTTACTAAATACGGATACTAGGACTTAGTTAGTTTTTGGACTACCGCTCTCTTTTTGTGCCGTAGTATCTTGATTTATTTTGCGAGGAAAGCTCCGTACTTTTGAAGGATGCCTGTCATTCTTAATATGTTGGAGAGCCTTCAATTTTTTATGATACTGTGCAATACCTCTGGTGTGAAACAGTTGCTTCAGACGTCGTGGCACGCTGCGGCGCGGCGGGCAGGCAGAGAGCGCGAAACGCGCATTGGCGCCTTCACGCATTGCGCAATGCGTGAAGTATCCCTGTTAGGTTTGTAGGCACCAGTGCGTCGCGTCGCCGCTCCGCTTTGTGTTAGACTCTAAATTTATTTAATCTCGCGGAGTCAGCGTTTTTCAACTCATGATTTTGAAATGTTTGCACACTCTGTATGGACTATTCTCATTTTAATTGATGAAAAAAAAAAATGTTCTAAAGGAAAATATAATGTGTGTTTTGTAAATATAAAGGTAGTTTCGTATCAAACTTAATGATTTCCAAAGCACACGAATTTCTACACAATTTCTTATGGCCTTTTATAGCCAATGGCGATAAAGTGTAAAGTCCGGCGATAGGAACTACAGCCCGACTGTATACTTTCAATAGCTTCGTATTGCCCGGCTATATGATTTGCTCTGCTTTCTACGGCCAGCTATATGATTTTCAATAGCCTTCTTTAGTCGGCTATAAGAACTCCTATGGTATTTTGAAACGCAGCTCCTATCGCCAATTTTTACCAGGGTGGTTTGATCTGCAGTTGTCAAAACTCTTGAAGGAGCTGCTTGGAATAATTTTTAAAGAATTTTGGCAACGAGCGGAAGCTATCACCTCCCACTTGGCTCACTCCTCGCCGTGCGCACTCCCAATCGTGTTATCTTTATCCCGAGACCCGTAATCCCGTGACCCATTTCGCTGGGTATCGTTGGCCGAGGAATTTTAACGACCAATGTCTGTGTCATGCAGAGGACCACTGCTGTCCGCCTGCGCCTTCCCTTTCACTGCGTCGAGCACCTATCGTCGTTCCTCTGACGTAAGGGCGTATCTCAATTCCTACGTGGGCCCTGAGCTCCGTATGACTCTTTGCTTCCCGGGGCTCAAGTGGTTATAGAGATCTGCCCTTACGTCAAAAGAGCGACGTTATTATCGGTGCCCATCTTTGCAGCGACACGACTTCCTTTATTTCCACCGAGGTTTTTGTCAGAAAAATTGCGGGTCTTGAGAAGCTCGTGTATGAAATCGCAAATTGTTTATCTTTGGTATTTCCCTTTGTTCAGAATTATTAACTCGAGCCATGTCTGTAAGATGGAATTGTTTAACTAACCTTCTACACATGCACAGAAAAATGTGCATGGATACTGGTTTGTTAAGTCCGCGGTTCAACTGTGCATTTTCATCATGAAGCAATTACCTGACTAGGAAACAATTAGATACCTATTTTTATCAGCTAAACCTCCTATTCCTTTAGAACTTGCTGTCATAGGTTATTCCAATCGTTTTTGCCAGACCCTCATTCAACTCTGACCTCTGTCGGTCCGTTTTTCTCCTTAGTTGTTTGTTTTGCCACGTGACTATTGCCACATTGTGACCTATTATCCACAATTTCATTTTAGGTTGCGGTAGCCACTCCGACCCAATACTTAAAAACTTTCTCTAAAAAGCAACATAAACACTTAACCATTCCACCACTTTTCTTTTTATTTATTTTTTTTCATTAATATTTTTATTTTTATTTTTTTTATTTTATTTTGTTTTTAAATTTTTCTTTAGGATTAAATGGACCGAGTTTAACAGAAAGGAACCAAGCCACATCAGCTATTGCCAAGTTTAACGGAGCAATTAAATTTTTTACGAGAGAACGTTTGATCGGATTCCTTTGAACATTTTAAGGAATTTGCTTTGTACCATGGAGAATTTTCACTGAAATTAGCACGAAAATCCGTACAACCGTTTTCATGTAAAAAATTAAATTGCCCAATTAAATTTGGCAATAGCTGATTTGGCTTGGTTCCTTTCTGTTTAACGCGGTCCAAATGTGTATCTTCTGTGTTAATAACAAAACGGAATAACCGACTTAGTTACATGCCAAAAGGATGCGGCCCCTGCTGTCATAGATAGTCTACTGGTCAAATCGGGAAGAACGAGGGACATTCACCTCCTTTCCTAAAACCTGTTTCCGTGCTTCCAAATTACATCACTGGACCCGCTGTCATGTTCCTCCAGCCGAGCTTACCTAACCCGCGGGGAATGTTTTTGAGAGCGGTTCGTTGATTGTGTCCATTCGAGCGTCATTTGCCGTTGCGGTCGCGGCAGCAGATGCGGCATGCGATATGCTGAATGCGGAATGCGCGCAAACCGCAGGAATGCATTTCCCGCACGCGAGGAATCGCGGCAACAGCTGTGTCATGCTCGGGGAACAGGAATCTCAACTCTCCCGTGCTGAGGAAAAACGTCCTATGAACCACCAGGCGTCGCCAAATTTCCTTCGATAAAACACAAATTTCCCGGTAAACTTGTGAATATTTGCCGTCCAATTTTTCACATGATTATGCTCTTCATTTCACCTAAAGCTCCTGAAAATTTCAGAGGAAAATGTGCCTTAATTTCCTTATAAATAAACATTTTAGAGAAGGATATTTGGCAACTCCCGAATGTTCATACGGCGTTTTTCCTTAGCACGGCAGAATTCCCGTGCTATCGAGGGTGACTCGCTGGATTTTACTTGCTACTGCTCGGTGCCGAGCACTGCACTGCCGACGACAGGAAGGAGGAGTCTCACTTCACACACACACGTGTGTGACACACACACGTGACGTCACGTGTGTTCACATTCTCGTTGGAGCCGACGTAGAGGCCCGAGCCCGCCTGAGGAGCTTTCCTTAAAGCTGGAAGCGGTGCTCCCATTTCCCGGAGTTAGTTCCGAATTCCGGAACTTTTGAGATTTCCTGTATTTTTTCGGAATTTTTGAAATTCCCGAAATATTCCGGATATTTTTGATCGTCCGGAACTTTCTTGGAACTTTTGAAAACGTCCCAAAGGAATCTCGAAACATTTGACGGCCTTGAAGTGGGAGAAATTGGAACAGGAAAGTACCGAATCTTGGAACTTTTGACGGACATGGAATGGGAGCTCCGTTAGGAAGGAATTCCACCGTTATAAATGGACCATTTACTCCGGGTTGTGTTCGTTTGGTAAAGAGAAGAGTATTGAATAAGAATGCGGGCTGGAGCGAATGACTCCAGATGGTAGTGAAATACACTTCACTCGAGGGAACTTAAAATGCAAGAGAAGCGTTAGTTGGAAGGGAATGGGCCCTCTTGACCGTGCGAGTCAGTTTTAGATGTGTAAATGGACCACATTATATAATAATTGTAAGTTTATTTTTCTTTTCTTGATTGTTTCAGATACTGAAAATTCTAAGTGCGGTATCAATAGCTGTTAGAGCAACGTTATTGGAAGGTAGTTCGAGTAGAGGCCAAAAATGCGTTGGAAATGGAGAGAAATTAAAATATCTCTGGGGCGACGCCCTCACCGACACTTCAAATTGTATAGGACCAAATAATGCTCCGTATCCATAGTGAGTACACTCATTTCTTTATAACATATGAGAAAAATTTACACAATGATAACAAAAAACTAAGTTTATGTTGAAAAGTTTTTCTAAAATCCCCCATAAAATACATCTCTCTATTGGTAACAATATTAAACAAAGAGTTCAAATGTTTTCAACGTGTATTGTGCGGTTGTTTTCAATTCGCCTTCAGCTGCGTTCGCAGCAATTGTTGTTATGAATATGTTGTGCGTGCCGATCTCAGCTCATTACATACTTGACTCTCTGAAGGCGTTTAATGTGCGAAGGTAGAGCACCCTGTCGGAAAACAACAGAAGTGAGATCGAATGAATCGCTCAATCCCTATTTCGTTCGTTTTCCGACAGATTTCGCTACTTGAGCTGATAAAACGCCTTCAGAGAGTCAAGTATGCAATGATCTGAAATCAGCATGCACAACATATACGTAACAACAATTGCTGCAGACGCAGCAGAAGGCGAATAGTCTGCGTGTGTCGAGAGTATGTATTTAATCGACATGAACGAACGAAAAACAAAAACGTGAACCGATCAACACAGATTCAATGGAAAAATAAATAAAGAAGCGGATTAAAATCAGTAGAAAACTCGCATTTACTATGAAAATTTCAAATTGCAATACCTCGAAATTGGGATCCGCCAAGATTTTGAGTTTTCGCGATTTTGAGTCCACACGTACTATAGACTCATCCCCTTCAACCCGGTTTGGGTACATTTTTGTCGTTTTTTTTTTTGCTTCAAGACCACTGTGAAGGGTTACTAAGAAAAAAGAGAGGAGAAAAATTAAAAGAACACGTTGGATTTTTTTTTTTTTTTTTTTTTTTTTTTTTTTTTAATTGAAAATGCGTTGATCACACAGACAATATGTATGTGTGACACAGAGTATATATTGTACAATCCAAAAATGTGTTGCACCTAACTCCTCCTTTATTTTAAAAATATTGGTAATCGTGGTTTGCATATATTATTATGATCTGATATTGAAAATAAGATATGTGGCGGAATGGATGATGTTTAACTCTAAGTGGATATTGAGGTATTGAAAAATAAGAACGGGAACAAACCCGCAGTGTTAATTACCTCTATCTGCTTCGAAAATGAACGTGACGAAAATCATACTTTTTGCAGTGTTGAAATAATTCCTCCTTCAGCAGTTTAATTTTTGTCTCATTTATCATTGCAGTTCAATAATTTCAAAAACTTTTAGAAGAAATCAAATGTCAAGAATGGGGCGATCATTCAATGCTGTAGATCCATTGCTGACGAGTAGGAGTTTATTAAAAAATTATGAATTGAATAACCAATTACAAGAGGACGTCACGATAAGTCGTTCAAGTAAGTATTAATGAGTTCTCTTTCCGTTTCGAAAATATTTCTTTTCCACCCTCAAATGGCCTAGCACAAGAGTTTCATAGCAACCAAGCACCGGAGCTTTCAGCAGGCACTACATATCGGAGTATAATTTGCCTTCAATCTAGCGTGACGCAAAACGCATTATAGCCGTGTTGAAACAGTTTACCACGCGCCTGAATACTCTGATGACGAATTTTCAGAAGAGAAATATGTCGATGGCTGAAGTGCTAGACCACTATTTCCGTTTGCGACGTTGCAGACGGCGAATTCAGCGTTGCTGGATTTACTCCCATAAATATATGTAATATAAAGTTGAGAAATTAAATTATAATTTTTCAAAGTAAAATCAAAGGAAATCAATAATTAAATTCACACATAAAAGCAAAAATAATTCCAACTTATTGGAACTAATTCAGTGTCGTACTTCATTTTTTCTTTGGAAAACTAGTCAACGTAATTTCTTTGAAACTTCCCTGGCTGTTCCTTTCTGTTGACAGAATATTCTGTATAAATTTCAAGCTAAGAAGTCTGTTTATTTGTCTGCGAAAAAACAAAATAGGCGTGGGAATTTTAAAACATTACAACGGAGGTACGCGGTGTCGCATTTTGGCCATCAATATGACAAATGTTATACTCTACTCTATTTTTCTCTGCGAAAGGAATGTAAACAGTAAATTGCGTGCACCCTATTCAATTTTAAACGGCTATCATGTTTTTTAAAAATCCCTCTTTTCTCCATGGTTTAATTTGTGAAAATAAGTTTTTGAAATCCTACTTACCTATGATCAACACTAGAGGTCTTTGAGTTTCTCTTTCAATTTGGCTCTCTCCTTACAACTTCAGTACCAGTGTTCGAAACTCACTCTTGAGTTTTAGGAGCCATGTGGCGCATCAAGCCCGATTTTTAGACGCCATTTAAGATTTTTCAGAGGCCAAATTGACTTTTTGCCTATTACGGCGCATTTAGTGAAAAGTTAGACGCAAGATGTTTTCGTAACAGAAGTAGTAAGTATAGCTGTAACTTGGGGAAGGCAAAAGCACTAAGAATGAAATCGTGAAGAATAGAAAAAGCAAGGTTTCTTTTGTAGTGCTGAAAATTCTGAGTTTTTTCAATTCAAATAGATTTGTTTTTCTTTCTTTATGTGACTTCCTGTGAAAATCCAGATTCTTAGAGGGCACTGTTTAGGGGTCACGTTGGCGCAGAGCCTCCATTTTTTAGGCGCCATGGTCGATTTTTTAGGCGCATTTGGCGCGTTGGTGCCTGTGAAATTCAAACACTGTTCAGTACATATATGAGAGAAATTTTTCAATGAAACTCCCTGAAGGTCAAGAGACTTGCAATTGAATCAAGTATTTTAACGCAAACATTTAAATCCTTTGAAATTCTTCTCCATTGAATGATTAGTCTACGTGGCTCATGCATGAAATATGATCCGAAGTGGAATGATAAGTTTCAAAATTTTCACCTCCGACATGTCTCTGTAGCTTTAAGCCTTTCCCTTGACCCATAGCTCTCTGTGCGCCATTAACAAATCCGTCGAGACTCAGTACTATAAAAGTTATACATTTTTTCCATGATTACAGGAAGAGATTATAGTCACAGAGACACATGCACGGGTACGCCGTCCCGGCTATGCAAAACGCGGTACAACACGACGGCACCCATGTACGGAGTGTCGCTGACGTCAGGGCAGCCAGTGACCATCGTTCAGAAGTTTCCCGATCTCCTCCAACAAGTAGTCTATGAAGTTTGCGAGTAAGTATAAGGTTCTGAAGAGTACATTTCAAGATGCATTTCTGTGGGTCAAGTTCCAGTAACGGCATTCATCATCTGAGGGCTCCAAGGACCACTTGGACTACATTTTGCAATTTGGAACTATAAATCCCTGTTTAAAAACATCGTATGTGCCATTAGTTTCCCTATGCACAAACGTGTTTTTCCAAAAGAGCCAGAATTTATAGTTCCCAATTGCAAAATGCAGTCCACTTAAAAGTCTCAGAAAGCAGCGTAAATGACTAATTTTAAGAAATCAATACCAGCGGTTTTAGTTAAAAATGAAAAACATACAAAAGAACCGATAAGGCTGTAATTTGTTTTGGATCAAATTTTTATTATTTCGTCAGTTCAATCTGAATTAAAAGTGTAGAAGAAACGGGCACTGTGATATCAAGTATGGGTACGAAATTTTCTTCGCTGAGTTCAGGCTGTAACTCTACGAGTATTATCGGTGTCATAATAACGTTACCGTGGGGATACGGCACGCATATGTGACATAAATTAAGAATGCTTTGACTCCTAAAAATGTCTTTTTTCGAGCGAAGCCTAATAAAAAAAAATGAAAAATTGTAATCTTGATACCATGCGTATACGGAAATATTAGTCTGTGCGAGTTTTAGAGATTTAATCAGCCAATTAAGAAAATTATGAAAATGATCATGACTGACGAGTCAGTTTCCTCATTCTTCGTTTTCTGCCGATTTCTGGACCGGACATAAAACTCCTTCAAGTCACTGCCTATGCAATTTCACTCACAGCCGTGTGTGTTTAGTTGGGCTCAATCCTGATTCCGTACCATCTTTGCCCAAAACTTGAGTCTTTCAGATTCAAAAGAGCTTGCTTGACGACACCGCGTTTTCCCCATTCCCTATGATGAAATTTTTATAAAATATTCTAAAAATTTAACTCTTAATTAGATTCTTAAAGGCCATTTTCAGTCACATTACCATTGGAGAATTTGAAACTATAGGCTACGATTCAAATAATTAATATACTTACATTCAAGTTTAGTTATGTTTTGCTTTCCAGCGTATTTTTTCTTTCTTTTTTTTCTTTTTTCTTTTTATTAACTACTGAACGAAGATAAAATTAAAAGTTGATAGTAATGTGTGCCGTAGACTTTGTAAATTCTAAAAAATTCTTTTTCAAATGGAGGTATACAGAACTAGAACCGAAAAGGGGCTGTGAAAGAAATTTCATAGCCTTACTAAATGATTTTGATGCGGAAATAAAGATGCTTTTTAAAGTCATAGATAATTTTAAGACTGATTCGATGACTCCTAATGCTTCAATGGACATTCTTCACAAACTTGTACTGTATCTTATGAAATCTGAAGTGTTTAAACTTTTTAGCAGTTAAAATTGGTGAGAAAGCAATTAATAATTATAATTTAGACAAATTTCAGTTAAATCTGTTTTTTGTTAAAATTTGGACTAATTCAGATTTTTTTGTCCGTTAAATCCGAAGCTTTGGAAATCTCTAGGATTTGACCGCCTGCCTAGGAAAATGCCTGACTATAAAAGACCTTCCATGTTTACATTTACCAATACTTTAAAATTATGTAAAATTGCAATTTCTCGTTCTCGTACACAATTCCATAAAATTGACCTCAGCTTATAAATATTTATACAATAAAACCTTATTTGTTAATTTGTATTAAATATCTTCTTTTGATTGTTTTTGCAGATCTCCGGAGTGTGACGTGGTCAGAGGAGAGTGCACACAAACTTATGTGCCGTACTTATTCCTCGTGATCCCTTTGGGTCCAGTCACGCTGACCGGTCAGGATTACGTTTTAGTGGAGTCCGGCTGCGTCTGCAAGCCCAAATACGCGTCGAAAAGCTTCCACGAGCAAAGTACAATCTCGGCCATACCTAATCTATAGGTCAGTATTACTGATGCACATCAAATGGTCGTATTTATGTTAGGAGGAACAATCGAAAACACAGGAAAATGCGGAAACAAGGCTAAAATACAACTAATTAAAGTTGTTGGATTCACATTTCAACTATAGATAATTTTAAATCTCTTATCTATTGAAGTATATAAAGGTTATTTTAATTTACCTTATTAGGTGGTTTAGGATTATGGGTATGGGTTTTGTATTTTAGCCTTGTTTCCGCATTTTCCTGTGTTTTCGATTGTCGTTTCCGTTTCGGGCTGCTTTTACATTCTCTTTGTTTCCACTGTTAGGAGGAACTAAGTATGCAACACAGTTTCTCTTACACGTCGTAATACCGTACTGCCGTGGTAAGGAAGAACGCCGTATGCGCCTTCAGACGTTGCCAAGTTTCTTCCGATAAAAACCGAAATTACTGAGAAAATTGCGAATATTATTTTCCAAAAATTTCAGATAATTTTGTACGCAATTTAAGCTAAAACATCTAAAATTTCAAGAAAAAATATGCATGAATGTTGTCAAAAATACATGCTTTATCCAGGAAAATTTGGCAACTCTCGGATGTTCATACGGCGTTCTTCCTTAGCACGGCAGCGTAATGCTGTAATATCTAATGTAATGTCTAATGTAATGTATGTATGCTGTGATCTTTGAAGCAACACATCGCGTTAAAATGGACGTATTCATCCTAAATGGAACCATTCATAAATTAATGAAATCAAAAGAAACCGCATAAAGCGCCTAAGTCCCGCATATGCAAATAGTTATGTCTCATTTAATTACCTCGCAAATAGTTCCTTTCAGCACAAATATCCCAAAATTTGCGTAGAGACGCAATCGGTTAGACGTTCATACATAGCGACGATGAAACTACCAGACTGCGTATCTCGTTTTGCGACGTTACAGACTATCTACCATACTGCATTTTTTAAATGAAAAATGACTCAACTTCAGTTCTTGAAAAATTCCGTGATTTGTCTTCCCTGCTCGAATAAACTCTATGAAAACTTCAAGGAATGATATTGATTTGTTCTCTTTTAGAGAAATAAAATGAAAGTGGAGATTTGTGAAACGCCTTAAACGAAATGCGTGACTTGGTAGTTTTATTGTCGATATCCATCTTTTGGAGAGCTCTGATTAATTCAAAGGAGTCCTTCCGCTGGAGACTTCAACGCTACGTAGAAAAGTAGGCAGCGTATTTGAATAATTTACAAAACTGGACAGCTGAACTAGCGTTTTAAAACTAAACGTAATAACACACATTTTATCATATTTAAGCGTTTAATGCCACTTGGAAGACATGTACACTCAAATTGTTCAATCTGAAGAAGTTCTCATTACGTTAAAAACAAGGAAGAACTTGATGCTCAATTTTGGCTTTGTGGTCAATTTAAACCGGAGACAAGAGGCCCTCCACTCGTATATCAACTATGGTGGAAGCTTTTACTTTCGGGACTTCAACATTAAAGTGTTGACTTATCTGCATGGTTGATTTTTAACAGCGTGTTGGCAGTTTCGTTTTGCAAACAAGCCGAAGTTTGAGAAACTTGTATTACTCATGACGTCACCCGAAGCTCATCATCCACCATGTTGGTAGGTCAACTGCTAAAATAAGAGTGATGACTGTTGCTCCCCTATAATTGTCCCTTAAGGAAGCGTTGACTCCCCGAAAGTAAAAGCTTCCACCTGTTGCTAAGAGGCCAAAGGAGGGTCTCTTGTCTCTGATTTAAACGAATAAAATGAAAAAGTAGAAAAAATAGTCCGAAATCTTAAAGAATAATAGCGTTGCCTAATTTGTTTTACAAATCTTCTCAGCTTCAATATAAAGTAATTGGTTTTTGAATTTTTAAGCAAAGCAGTAATTCGTGTCGTTAATTTTCCAGGGAAACCTTGTGCACCTACTCCTCACGCAAATAACCAAAGAAGTTGAATCCTGAGATGAAGTCTCTACTAGCCGTCATCGCTATCTGAAGTCTTCGAATAGAAGATTGTTTTTAAATACATATTATTTACTTGATTTACGCATAAAGATGAAGCTCTCAGTTGGCTGTGATTGTGTAATTTTTCAAGTATAGTTATCGTAATTTTTGCTAAACACTCATCACCATAAACTGTGCGTGGCTTAGAGAAATATATCCAAATCTAAGTGAGACTCACTTTGGGTCTCATTAGAGAAGTTGACAATTATTAAGGGTTGAGTACAAGAGTTATGATTATGCGTCTTTATTTGTTAAAGTTCATTTTTTTCTGTTGTGTGGGTGCTTTTTTAACCTGAAATACACAAAAAATCTTGTCATTGAGCTTCTATGTGGGCTTACATATAAATATAAATTAAAATTATTTATCAGAAGAAATGCGTAGACGAAAAGGGTCTGCATGTTTCAGAGACCGGTTCAAAGAAGGCTGTATTTTTGTTTTCAGACCTTATACGTGTCTGCTAAAAACCGGATGGTATTCTAGATTTACATACTTGATAAGAGGAGGGTCACAAAATTTTGAACAGGACCATGACTTAAATAGATTTTCCCGCTAAAGTAAACATGTTATGAGGAATACACGGCAGTTCCTAAAAGTGACCGAGAGTATTTGAAGGCACCCTTCTCTATATGTGTTCTGAGCGAAGTACAAAAATTAAGAGAGGTATTGAACTGGTGCTCTGAATGAGCAGAACTCTTGAAAATGGAAAACAATGGGAATTAATTTTTCATCATTCCTCTGAGGAATGAAAGTTTCTGATTCTGCGTGTGCTTAGCGCTAAAAAGCTCCCCATAATAATTCGACTTTTTTCGAATTTTTACAAGCCATTAGAGTTGTAAATTTTTTTGTTAATATATTCGATCTTTTGTACAAAGTAATTATTTATTTAATTTATTGATTTATGTATTTATTTATTAATTTAATTGGTGAAGAAATAATGAGAAAAATGAGTGTGGGTGTATTGAACGATATGGAATCTTGACTTGGAAATCATATACCTAATAAAAATTGAACCTAGTGGGAGGTTATGTGTACTTCAGATAATTCCACCATTAAAAGGAGTAACGAGTGAACAAACTTGTTTAAATTTCTAAAGATCGAAACTCTATGAACAAATAAAAATTAATCAACAAATTATGAGAGGTTCACAGGCTAAATACTTTTGTAATTTTCCAAAATACAGTCACAGACATTCATAGTTGAAGGAATATTTTGGATTTAAAGCATGTAGAGTTTTAAATTGTGCTAGATTAATGTATCAACATTTTTCCATTCATTTTCCAGCTTCAGGTCGTAAAGACTATTTTCTATGTTACAAAAAACGCTATTTTACATCATTATTCATCACCAAATATACAATTTTTCTTACATGTAACTTGTAAATAGAATAAAGAAATAAATACTCGTTATTTCTGTCATTTTTGAACGTTAAATACCTCACCATACCCATGGTATAATTACTTGAAAAACGATCTGCATCTAACTTTAATTTACTCTTTGCGAGAAATAATAATAATGAAAAAAAATACGCAGGTTCGAATGCTCACAAACTCGTCTAGTTTGATGCCTTGGAACAACCGGATATTCATGGAAGAAATATGTTAACGTCACCTAGATTTTCGCTTGAATTTGCATTATTTTAAGCTTCATAATATTTTTAAAGACTGCTGAATACATACGGAAAAAGTCTTAAGATTCGGTTCTTACTGTGGTTTACAAACGCAAAGTAAATGCACAGTCTTTTCCCTGCAGCTCTTAATCACTTGGTCCACATTTTGTAATAAGGAACCACTATTTCTGGCTTATTTTTGAAACATCATATATGCCATTGGTTCCCCCATGCAGAAAGGTGATTTTATGATAGAGCTAGAGATAGTGGCTATTTGTTGCAAATTGCAATCCACTTACGGCTTGCAGTCGAACCTAAAATGCTGGGGGAAAGCTTTTTGAAATTTTGGACCGCTATGCGCCAGGCGGCGGAGCGTCGCTTCGGTGGAAGTTTATCGACGTTGACTTAAAAAAAAAAAAAAAAAAAAGAAGAAAAAAAAAAACTTTAAAAGAGACTGTTGAGGCTTGGCAACATTGTTAATAAGTCCAGTTGATGCTGTAAAACTTTGTTATAGGATAATTCAGAGCATCCAGAGAAACAGAGAGCTTCGGCAGTAAGTACACTAAGTAAAGTGAACTTGATAAGGTGAATTTTATATTAAATTTGTTATATTGTCTTGTTGTTGCTGACCTAAGGTTCAACAGAGACAGACCACGAGTGTGAGAATTGAAGAGAGAAACTTTATTATAAAATTGCTCTTTTTACCCCACAGATATTTACTCATGGCAAGAAGCGCGGACCAATCACGAAGTAGAAATGATGTTATATTTTACTTTGAGTCATAAACCGATCAAGCTAATTATAACTGCAATATTTTGACCTTCTCTAAAAGCAGGTAAAGGCTTACTTTGCACTCAAAGATAACTTCATTCGGGCGCACAGAGGTCTAGTTACCACCAAAATTTAGTTTCTAAATGAACAAGCCTCTCACGTGGACGGGAATGTAGTGAGGTTGCATACTCCTTGTGTTGAAGGCGATTTTAAAGCGTTGATGGAAGTCTTTTTTCAGTGTCTATAATGTTGTATGATGAAGATGCAAAGAAAATGAACTAAAATTGAATGATAAGGTTAAGGGCGGAGAAAAAACACAACAGGGACGTTTTGGACCAGTTACACGTCTATGATCAGGTGAAACAAAAATCCTAAATAAAAAAGTGTTACACAAAATTGAGTGTGTATAATTGGCAGAGGAGATAATCGAAGGTACTCCTACTTTCCAGAAAAACTTCCTGACTTTTACATCGGTCAAATGCACGGCAGTTCATGCAGTTCATGTTTCAATGTTTTATTTTTGCCCCAATTTCAGTTACAATTGGGCATGCAACTGGATGGAAAAATTCTGATATTGTTTTTGCTCCCTAATTCTGGTCTTATTCAACCCAATTCTCAGTATATATTTTCTTCAATATGACATTGCTGGTTCGGGTGATTATGAAGAATTTTATTTTTATTTTATTCGGGCGGCTCTCCTTATTTATGAGCTTGTTGATCATCAATACTTGCAAATTTTTGAATTACAAAAATGAATACTTACAAGCCCATAACGAGCATATTTAAACTGATTATCACAGAAATTTTTGTAACTATTTAAGTTTCCAAGCTCTTCTAAATTTCTTCCAAATTTTCCTTGTGCAGTTACGCTGATGGGCAAAATGTTTCTACGGGGCTGAGTGTTTCCTTGGAAATTTGATAACCAATTAGTGCGACACACCCTCCCTCACCCTCCCTCTCGAGGAAAAAAAATAAAATAAAAATAGATGCAGAGATGGGGAGAGGACGGATGGGCTAGGTACTCATTTGTTTATCTCTTAAAAGAAGAAAGACAAAGTAACATGACAAGTATTATTTTATTTTACGAGTGCCGAATCAAATACATTTCTACACTTAATGCATCCGTGATCGCAACAAAAGCGCGGTTTCGAGAAAAATGCAACTTTTGGACGGATTGGTGCCGCCGTCTTCCGCAAGAGGGCAGTCCGGCCGTGGGCCATGATTCCAATTAAACCTCAGTGGCAGTTCTGAGCGGTCCGCGAGCACAATGAAAGGGCAATAAATAAGCTTTGAGGAGAGTGAGCTGTGATTATGAGCTACATTGTGCAACTGCACTTCTTTGACCATTGTTTTTCCCAGCGTCAAAACAATACGTCAAGGCCGCGGGCCGGACATTGTGGTGGGACTGCTTTGTCACGCAATTTGATTATCTTTGATGAATTCTGGGTCTAAGATCCAAGTTTTGGGAGTTCATCGGGATACCTGTCCCGACAGTTTTGGAGTCACGCTTGGAGTGAGGAAAATTCGAGTTCTCGGAGGTTGATACACACCACTATGCGGATGTTCGTATTTTACTCAGACTTACATTCATGTTCACCCCTTTAATTTTCGCAAATGCCAAGAGTCTATTTAGATTTAAGTAAAGACGAATTTGACGACCAAAACTACGTAGGAGTAGATCCCAAATACGACATCAAAAACAAATCTCAAAATTGTCAACGTTCGAACCCCCATTTTGGCCTCCACCTTGAATATGGGGGTTGGACGCAAAGTTGAGCTTATCAACATTGAAATTCTTTTTTTACACATAAAATCTAAGAAATTAAGATATTTTCCACACTTACTTCACTTACCGTTCCATGGGAAGCTTTTTTTGAACATAAGAACCCGGACTATGAATGTGAGTAAACTATTACGCGTTGGTCAATTTTGAACTTCTTGAACAAGTTGAAAGTAACTGCGTGAAATTTTGATATGGATGTATATCTTGAAGTGCTTTAGTTTTCACCGCGTCTGATGGTCCATTGTCACCAATATTGTAGGTAACGGAGACTGGAATTTTTTTTGGGGCCTGAAATCTTCAACCTATTGGTCAGGGCCGGATTTACCTACTTGCCACCCATGGGCCGCCTGTATTTTGCCTGTTCCTTCTCATTCATATTGAAACATTAATAAAAACCATCAAGTGAACGTGCCAGCGGGGGAGGGGTGCATAAGACGCGTTTACTCGTGTTGAACACATGTTTTAGGAATGCCCTGTCAACATTACTAGCAAAAGTCAAGTTTCGTAAACCTATCTCTGTGTGGACAAGGCCTTTCATTCATAAGAAATGACAAAAAAATTATGGAAGAACAAACATGAATGTGGTTTAATGATTTTAACTTCCGCCGCCGCGCCGCGCAGACCGCACCGTGTTTGGCGCAATGCGTGAAGTATTCACGCAGTCTTGTAGGCGCTATCCGTTTCACGCTGACCGCAATTACCGCACTGTGTTTGATGCAACGTGAAGTATTCGTGCAGTCTTGTAGGCGCTAATATGTGTTACATGCCGATCGTCGCGCCGAGGGCTTCTCCTTTTCATCTCAAGTCCTCGTCATCATTGCTCTCTGCCTCTGCGCCGCGCCGTTCCAGGCCAAATTGCGTGTTTGGTTTCTCTCTTATCTCGACTACTTAAAGGTGCTGTCTCTTGTATCACTGAAAGACGACAACATTAAAAATTACTATACTCTCAGGAAATGAGAGATTTTGTCGCCTTTTCTCGTTTGTAATTTTTTTTTTCTAAATCCGATATTCTTTTATACCTACATTTAAAAAAAATTGTAAAATTTGCCGCCCTCCAGATTTGCCGCCATGAGCCACGGACCATGTGGCCACCCCCTTAATCCGGCCGTGCTATTGGTAATCTCGATGTGAAATCTGTAGTGAATTTCACTCCGGGAGCATGATCGATCCCAAGCGATCAAAGTGACTTAAGAGAGGAAAGACATTCATTTTCTCAAGAAGTGAACTCCACCTTCAAATAGCAGAATTAACAGTTTTTGGAGAATTGACACAGCTCTGATGGAGCGAGTTTTACTTCTTATTCCTTATACTCGAGTTTTTTTTTTTTTTTTTTTTTTTTTTTCCGGAGATAAAGCAGTTTTCAGAGTGAGATGAACTCCGGACTATATACCAAAATTGTTACCACTGAATGATCATTCTCTGGGCTGCGCTTCCTTTTTCTCCTCGCACCGGTGGGATGCAATCGACGGGTCTTCATTTGTTTCCGATTGTGAGTATAACAATACGTCGATCATGAAATACACCCACCGACTTACTTCAAAGTTCAACGTATTCGGCAACAATGTTGGGTTGGATGCTAGGCCCATGATCAATGGGCCCGTTCCGAGCGCGTTTCTGCTTAATTCACGATTAATCACATCAGAGGCGGCTGTGGCCACGGCTGCGGCCACGGCATCAGTCAACGCTCAACGGTTTGGCGGGCGGCGCGCTCTTGCGTCACCGTTCACCGCTGACACAGGGCGCGTGGGTGCTCAGCTTCGATTCGGCGTTGCCAACCCCGGGTCGAGCCATCGCATCTCTGTTTTTCTGTTTTTTGTTACAGAGGATAGAGTACCTTCATAGGGAGAGTATGGACAGCTCGAAAATTTGGAGGTTAGGTTTGATCAGGTCATGGCAGCTCTTGGGGCCCAAAAGGAGAGCCAACCTATGAACTCGAATTGGACGTCATTTTGCAATTCGGAACTATAACCTCCGACCCATCCGTAAAAGCACGTATCACTCGGCGTGTTTTTGCGAGTTAAGTTAGGTTCGCTAAACTAAATGCTCAACTTATTGGTCATCAGTCAGCGTGCTTTTAAATTCCGAACGTAACTTTTACCTTAGTGAGAATATCAGTGCAGGGTCTTTAAAATATATCATCTGTAATTCAGATAACAATTTTTTTTTTCAAATTTACTCTACACACAAGGCGTCGAGGGTTGATAATT